TTCAGAAAAGATCTCCTACTGCACATTTAATTATCTTATTGGTGGTAAAACAAACAGGCAGTCAGAGGATGGGATTAGGAAGGTTGTTATTTCAAAAATATAAAAAAAGCATCATCTATGATTAGATGGTATTAGTTACATGTTGGTATAATACAGTCAAAAAACAATAACTAGTAATGATAGAAAACAGAATTTGCAGCTGTAGGGCTAGGGGAGTACTTTTTATCTCAAATATGTTGAGTTCTGTTACAAGTTTGTAAAAAGTGCACAATTCTTAGCTGTTTATCACGCTGGACTGTACAAATGTAACAGATTTTGCAGGTCAACTCATACAGCTTCATGCTGTAAATAGCACCGGCTCTAACACTCTGACGGTGTGATTACCGTTTTATGTAAATCGAACACCCAAGTTGTTCACTGTAGAATACGGCACGACTGCTTAATCTAAACCATCAGTCAGTTTATGAGGCCCATTCACCCTTCTGGGAGGTCATTGCTGTGTCTCTGGGGACTTTTTGCATGAGTCAGCCTTTTTCTCTCAAAAACTTCAACACTGAGTCAGGAGCTGCCCACATACTGGTGGACTGAAACTTGTGTGTCACACGCACACAAACACATACAGCTGTGTTTTCATGCTTTATGGGGACATTTCATTACTTTCATTTTATATGGCCTAAACCAGACCTTACTCCCTAACCTAAACTGAATTCACACCTCAGTCCTAAAGCTAACCCAAACCCTAAGAAGAGAACTTTACCATATGGGGATCAGTTAAACATCCCTATATGCAAAACAACTCCTCCACAATGCAGATAAGACAAGACCACAAGTTAGCTATACTGTTTGAACAAGAATTTTATACTGACTTCCATTCACTTTCAGTTGAGTTTTATATCCTAATTCTGACCCAAAGCTAAACTCAATTCACACCTTAGTCCTACTAGGGGCCCAAGGTGGGGCAAATGTTCAGAGGGGCGCCTAACAAAAGAACAGAACAATAACAAAAAAATGACAATAACACATAGCTATAGTTACATCGATATTAAATGAGCCGCAAAGCCACATTTGCTGATCCCTGATTAAGCAGATGAAAACTGTGATTCTATCTTAATACAGCTGAAGCTTGAAGTGATGCTCCATCATTTCTAAACATCTGTTAGAGTAAACTGTAAAGGGAAAGATTAAATCAGTCCAATGAACAAAGAAGGCACAGTCTCTTCTATCAGCACATGTGAGAAAATTTTTTTAGTGTTGAGTCTTCAGTAGAGGGACCACAACAGGAGCCAGGACAAGATCTACAGGGGCATCACCTGTCAAAAACCCCCCATGATACTAAACCTATCCCAAAAACACACTTTTCCTTAGATAGATCAGACTTTGGTCCCTACAATGAGCAGTGACTGCTTCTAACTTATATATGTTCCGAAAATTGTCCTTACACTATAGAAAATTAGATTACACTCACTCTAAAATTAGTTTGGCATGACTAAACGTGTCTTCCCTCTGCAGGAATCTGTCAAACATTGTCTTAAATGAAGCTGTGCAAGTCATCTGTGTTTAGAGATGAGAAGGATACTACATTCAGGGCCGGCCCAGGGCACAATCGAACTAGGCCACTACTGAGTGCCCCAGGGCAACTTTCCCCTTCAAGGTCAATTGAGTCTTTTTGTTTGTTTTTGCATGTTTATGCATACATAATGTTTTCCATATAAACATAGTAACAAAACACACAATTTGTAATAAAATGTTGCATTTTTTTGAAAATATCTGTAACAATCTAGAAATCATTACTTATACATTGTAAGTAAGGACCAATGTAAACTTCTCTTGAGACAAACTTATCTTTGGTAAACAAAGATAATCTAGACAGTTTATCATCTATGGATTAAATTATCTGTTTTTGTACAATATAATTTATAATCTTCATTTATCAAAGCTTTTTTTTCTGGTTCCTGCATTACAGTTTATTTTTGCACATTGCTGTTGGACCAACAAATATAAACATGACACATAAAAGTTGGTTTATTACTTTATAATATTGCAGGATACTAACAAATAAGACACTGTAAACAACAGTGTAACATAGTCAAAATTGCACTTGATTATTACTTTTCTTTTCCAAATTTGTATTTGTAGGTTCAACTTATCATTTTATGATTATGTTGCGAGTTATTGAATTTTATCTTATGTAGTTATTTTCATTTGCATTATTCAATTTCATTAAGTCTACTTTCCTGCACTCTACCCTTAATGTTGCTCCTGGGCTTCCGTAGTCAACTCCCCCTAAACCTCACAATGGTGTTCGTGTTGCTGAGGGTGAGTTGTGTGGAAAAATGCACCACCAAAATTGTACAAGTTTCTTTAAAAACTCCGTCATTTACAGTAAATTCTTTGGTGTACAGTATGTTGTTCACTGGTAGATACAGAATTTTAAAGAGCTGTTTTGTGTTATTTGGACCAATATTCTAAGTTTTATAGGCCGTTTTTGTTTTACATTTTCTGGCGCTATTTGGACTAGCTGACCAGTGTAATTAGCAATTTGCAAAGTGTCCATTTGCATGTTTAGGAGCGGATGTGCAGGACAGCATGCTTGAAGACAGTTTCTAATTTTTTTTTATGTCATCTGCAGGTATTTTTTCATTTGTTCAATTATTAATGTTTTTGTTCTATGTTTGTCACGCCACCCAACGCAGTGTGTTTATTTTGCCACTATAATATACCTCAATATAAAATGTCTCACTGTAAAGTTATAGACCTCACAACGGTGTTCGTGTTGCTGGGGGAGCGGATGTGCAGGACAGCATACTTGGAGACAGTTTCTAATTTTTTTTTATGTCATTTGCAGGCATGGGCGGTTCTAGACAGGGGCCAACGGGGGCCAGTGCCCCTGTAGATCATGTCTTGGCCCCTGCACTGAAAACATAATACACAAAGAAATTCTAATGATGATATTTGCTGGAACAGACATAGTAATGAATAGGTTTTTTTTTTTTTTTTGAAAATGCTGTTTTACTAATTCTCTAAAAACAATAAGGTGATAGCTTCAGTGGTATTGAGATAGGATCCCAGTTTTCATCTGCTAAATGTTTTTTTGCTCTACTTTTTACAGCCAAATTAATCAGTTTGTCTTGAGTTCTAAATCAGATTTTATAGAAAACGGTCATTCTAACTTAAATTAGGTCAAAAATAAGTCCCATTCCTAAATTATGAATGCATATTGACCTAATAAGCAATACTTTTAATTAAACCTAATTGAATGGATAATTTCACTTCAAGGCTGCTCTCAACATATTTGAAGCCCTTGGCCCCAGCCTGGCCCCCTCCTGGCCCCCTGGTACATTTGGTCTAAAACCCCCACTGTCTGCAGGAGAAAATAAAAGCAGCAAAACGGTTCTTTGAGTGCTTGTCCTTCATCGCATTACTACACATCCGTTACATCAGACCTGTATTAAGTTTATAGTAGGGGTATGATATCGTATCATCTGATTGTTGAGGCCCCGAAATATACTTTTGCTCAAGGCCCCATAAAACTTTGGGCCGGCCCTGTGCACATTCTGTTTTGCATTTCTGCTTTCTAGATAACCAGCGCCTCACCAATCTGTTTTGAGTCATTATATCCATGTTTCCTGTTTCTTAATTCTGCTTTAAAGTTATTCATTTTGACCAATGCCAGTTTAGTCTTTTTCTAATCTCATTGCTTGGCCTCTTAAAGCAGAGGTAGAGCAGCCTGACAGTGAGGGCGCGCACTGACCATCACAGAGCAGCTGCAGCACCAAACCCCCTCAGCAGGCCTGGCATTGTACCTACACTGCCTATCACTGCTTATTGTCCTATAGACTCGATAGGTGTCTGAATGCATGCATGCATGCATGAATGCACTCACTCTGCGTATCCAGTTCCCCAGGGAAGCCTGGTGCCTCTCTTTAAGGTGACCACCGGCCGTGTGGCGTGCTCGGTGGAGTACTGCAGGAGCTCCGGGGTGAGGTCCAAGAAATCCGGTCGGCCGTAAGGGAAGCGATGCGGCAAGCCTTCCTGTCCGCAGTTCTGGCCTCCACCTGAGTGATGATTGTGGTGGTGGTGATGTCCATGAGGCATCATCCCTCCCACCAAGTTCGACATCGCGTTTTTCACTTTGCTGATCATCTTCGGCACCGACCCGCTGTGGACCAAAAGATCCGAGGCGAAAAAAAAAAAAAAAAAAAAAAAAGGAAATTACAAGCGATGCGCCACCACGGTGGAAACGGGGAAGGGCGAAGAACAACAGAGCGCAAAGAAGGCGAGAATCATTTCAGGAAGCGATTGTTTTCCTCCGTGGACCCATGTGACAGCTTTCAGACAAGCAGAGGCGAGTTTTTCCTCATTCAAACAGAATAAAAAAGCCTCTTTGCGCTGCGCATGGGCCGTGATCCGCCAGGAGGCTGTGGCTCCTCTGATAGGGCTGGGCTTCAAGGGGATGCGCAACCAGCCGGCAAAAATTCACAGGCATCCAAATGTCCGTGGGAGCTGAATTAGTCCCAATCAGAGACAATCTTCAAAGCTTTTCCGACACTTCCGATTCATTTCATTTGTTCTCCAAACTACAAAATAGCCAGTATAATAAACAAGTGGCTCATAAATAAGCCAAACTGGGTATGTCCAGCCAAGCTGAGCCCAGCACCAGATGATTTGAGCCATCAACAATAATTGGTCCATTATAACCAGTAGTTGTTTAAAAAAAAAAAAAGAAAAGAAAAAGAAACAAAGAAAAAGAGGGATGGTGGATTTTTTTTTTTTTTTTTTTTTTGGAAGATCATCAACATCTCAGTCATCCAGGTCATAGTCATTCAAAAGATAAAAATAATTAAAAATTTTTTTTTTATAAAAAAACAAGAATAAAATATAATCCACTGGACTTTGTTGGTTCCTTCATGGCTACATGCAAAACAACAAATTGCCATGAGTCCAATTCATTAAAAAAGTTTGTTAGTCTCTGTATTGATTTAAATTTCAAGAATGAATTCACTTTGTTCCCAAAAAGTTAAAAAGAATAATCCACTGGACTTTGTTTTCAAGTTTGAAGACGTTTTGCTTCCCATCCAGAAAGCTTTTTCAATTGAAAATGTCAGAAATAGCGTTGAGTTAGAAGCTTTATATAGTAGCCCAAAAACTTGCTTTTTATTCTGCTTCATTTTGCATGATATCTAAGCCAAAACAAGTTTTGGAAACTTAGAAACAAAGTCCAGTGGATTGTTTTTATTTATTTATTAATTTATACTTTTTTACTTCTTTGGAAGCATACATAGCCTAATTAATATAGTCTATTAACCTAAAGCAGGATGCACAGTATGGATGTTACATGTCAGGTAAGTCAATCATTGACCTTGACTGGGGCACCTTACAGGACTGGTTGGCATGGCTATCACTGCCCCTACATAGTTAGGGACTCATTTCCCACTGGGATCAGCTTCATTGTCATGGTAAGTCAATTCTTTGATTTTATTTTTCAGGTTACTCATAAGCCCACAGCCCACCAAATGTCAAAAGGGCAATATTATTGCCATTACTGTTAATATATAGCAGAAATTCTACACATTAGATAATAAAATGTCAAAGGGGAAGGTATGGGGGATTCTCATTTAAGAAGGGGGATAATTTTTAAGATCTTTTTAAGAAGGTGGATGCCATCCCCCCTCAACTTGAGTACTGATTATAACCCATCAAATGGGTTTATGATATTCTATCCAAATTATGGGCTGAATTAACTGCAAATTTGGATAAATTCAACGACGCCTATTTATTATTGCCCCTACCCAAACACTGGGCCAAATCATTTAACTTTATAATTTTTTATTTCTTTTACCCAAATTCCGTGTCAAATTAACCATAGTTTTATTTATTTTTTGTTCACCAGCCATATATATTAGTTTAGTAATCATTTTAAATTCTTGGTAAAATTGTCCAGTATCTTTGTTAATTTCAACATATTACATTACGATCATTAGGAAAGTAAGGTGCAATAGATTACTCATATCTATAACACAATTCATGCTGAATTTGGTTATGCAATACATGTTTTATGCAATAAAACTTTATGGAATCTGTACAAAGCACCATCTTGAAATTTAATAACACTTAATAACCAAAATACACAAAGGAAGCTAATAATGGAATTATTTTAATTAGAGTCATTTAAACAATGCACAGCAGTGTGTATAACATCTGAGAGCAACAGGCCAAGTGTTAAACTGGTAGTAACAAGCTGTATTTTAGGCTTTTAGCTCCACTGGTAGCAAGTATTCTAGTTTGAAGAGTTCAGGCTTTTCTCCTGGTATTTCATAGGCTGCTCTTTGCAGGAATTCCCACAGATGTTCACACTGCTTTGGTTATTTAAAGTGCAAAATAAAGAAAATGCCTTGAAGCAAACATTGAAGGTTGGAAACTGTGTGTCGTGGTCCAATGCATGTCCACTGTGATGACAGATCCTTAAGATGCATGCTGACTGAAGTGGATAATCCAGGCCCAGAAAGCAAAATGCCTGTACAGAGATCAGTTCCAACAATTTGCATTTGCAGCGCCCACAACACAGACTCATCATCTAAGGAGTTAAACTCCTGGTTAAGTGAACAAGATGAAGGAAAACAAGGCAGGTTTTGAAACCTGGATTATCCACCTCTGCATGCTGATCATTTCCAAGTGTCAGAAGGGAGTGAGGTCAGGATGCCTTGACCTCATAGAAGTACTCCACCATGTTTGTACCAGGTAAAGAAAGCAAATGAGAATAAGTAAGGATCAAATGATTGTTTTGAAAGCCCACTTAAATAAGATATATATCTAGATAGATCTATATATCTACTGTATATAGATCTATGTAGATATATATATCTATATATATATAGATATATATATAGATAGATATATATGCCTAAATGTATAGAAATCTGAGGTGTCAAAAGTATTAAAGTTAGATTATCAACTTCAGCTTTTAACTGAAGTTAAAGCGTAAAAGTAATTTTTTTAAAAAACAATTTAAAGTTTAAAAGTAATGCAGAAAGAAATGTTAGGGACAGATACTTTAATCTACTGTAATAAAGGAATATTTTTCTACAACTCTGGATGATAAATTCCTTGCATTTAGTTTTCTTAATCTTAGAACTAATGGTAACAGTGTCAATTTAGCTTCACATCACCTTGAAAAATTGTTTGGTCTGTGGTATACAACAAGTTAGTGACAAGTTGGTGTTGTTGTTGTGATGAACAACAATACCAAACACAATGAAATTCATTGTCTGGATGAAACAAATTATTTTGATGTTTTTATTTTATTTTTTATAAATACTAACATGCTATAATGAAAATGAGCTGGAGTAGAAATAAAAGTTATAAAATAATTACTCAAGTAAAGTATAGATGTCAGGGTTGGGTTGAGGTTTGAGGACCCAAATGCAGATGCAGAGGTGATTTCTTGCTGTTTTAATTAGTGATAACAGTAAACAAAGGTAGGAATCCAAAAATCCAACATGAAAAAAGTAAAACAAACCAGAACCATGGAGACACCAGGGGAAAATAATCACGAGGGGCCTGGGTAAGACAAGGCAAGACGAAGTAAGACGAGGAACCAGCACTGAGCAACTGCGCAAGGAGAGTATTTATGGTAGACTGAACAAAGAGAGGACTAATGAGCAGATTGGGAGCAGGTGTGAAGAGAGCAGTCTAGGAAGGGGCTGGGGAAAAGGAGACCAACACAAGAGGGCAACAAATATAACCAGAAAACACAACAAAATAGGAATGAAACAAATAAAACTAGAAAACATGGAGCAAAGTAAAACTGAATACTTAAAAGAAAACATAACAGAACCAAGACCGTGATAATAGATGGACAATATTTCTACTTAAGTAAGGTAACGAAGTATTTTTACTTTGTTTCTTGACGCCTCTGAAAGCAATATATATGAAACTAAAGTACACAGTATTGCTCTCTGTATACAGTATACTATACATGCTGTGCAGCACATCTAACAGCAGAGATTAATAAAAAGAAATGTGGTCATTTCCCAAATTACAAAGTAGAAATGAAGACTTAAATTGAAAAATATATATTTCTTACCTTTAAATATTTCTATAAGGTCTGTCAGCTGCCACAGCAGCCTAATGTTGATTAAAAAGTTGTCCATTGATCTGAAACAAAAAAAGGGGACAAAAACAAACTGTAGTTAGGCGGATTTCCAGAGGCAGAATGGGTCAGGATCAGGCAATCAGAAAACACAGGTACAGTAGAGAACTCTCATCACAGGCTTGAAATAATCTGGCACTGATAAGTGGTCTTAAGGCTGGTTAAATAGAGGCTGAAGCAGGTGGATCAAAGGAGGGGCAATGAGAAGTGGGCAGAGATAGGCAGGAGAGTGAAATGAGTAATCAGACTAGACATCATCGCCAAGATCATGACAGTGTCCCAAGAGGGCACTTTAGCACATGTTTGGCTCCAAAGGGGGCAGTTTAACATGTGTTTTGTTTTCAGCTAAGGCATTAAGGGCATGCTTTGGCTCCAAAGGGGGCACTTAAACATGCGTTTTGGCTGCAAAGAGGGCACTTTAGCATGCCTTTTTGGCTCCTAGGGGGCAGTTTTATATGCCTTATGGCTTCAAAGAAGGCAGTTAAGCACACATGATGCCTCCCAAGACATTGCACTACTTCAATTCTATAGTTGGAGGGGGTCAGGTTATCCTAAACTTTCACTGTAGTAATGCTGCTCTAGCCTTATGCTTCTGGAGGACAGAATGACCACTTTTCATCCTACTACATTCTCCCACTATTCTCAAATGTTGCATTGTTTGCAATTATTTCACTTTTTTATATTTGTTTTATATATATTCATTGTTTGTTCTCTCTCTGCTTTTTCCTCTCTCCATAGTAGCTACAAGTGTTCTATTTAGCTGTGACAGTGTTCTGAAATTAAATTTAGGCAAGGACTTAAAAAAACTGAACTATGACATTAGGACATCATTTATATAATATTAAACCTTACCTTGTGTTTAAGTGTTTATGTGACAGTGTTAAATATTCATTACAGATTATGCAAAGCCTTTGCTGCCATAATAAAAACAAGATGCAGTTACAAAGGCTTACCAGTAGATGGAGCCAAATAAACGTACCTAAAAAAAAAAAAAAAAAAAAATAAAATCTTAAAGGCCTTTATGGCGATGGGAAACTCAAATATTCTGCATGTATGTTGGTTGGCATATTAAACATTTGAGATTGTAAATCTTAAATGTAAATCCTGTATTTATTAACTGACTCAGATGCTTAAACATATCCTTACGCATACACATCTTTTCTTTATAGCACATTTTTATGACATATTTTTTCTCACAGCAGCTGTTGTTTTGCAGGCTGTCTACAACACCACATGCTGGCGAGTGATAAAAAGAAAGCTGAATGATTTCC